CAGCAAGTCAGAGGCCTGTGAAGTCCTGACTGCTCAGGTCTGGTCACAGATCTCCATTGCAGGCTCTGCAGCTTGCTTTTCAAAAGGGATGAGAATGCAAATGTCAGGCATCCCTTTGTTGATCTGTGAGAACTCTTTCTTGCTATGGGAATCCTGACCTACAGACAAAGGAAAGGATTGAGGGTCATTGTAATGGGCTTTATGAGTTGATGAATCCAAGACAGAACCTGAGCGTTCACCAGCAAAAGAATAGCATTGATATGCGGTGGTTGGATTATTGATACAATTAGGTGGCTGTTACCATTCAGTGTACATCATTCGTGTGCTGCTGAAGCTTACAGGTGATTGTCCTATCTGACATGCCTCTGCAGTGGTGCAGTTAGACTAGGTAATGCCCCTATGAATATCAATTTGCTGTGAGTAAGCAAAGCCACTTATCTTTTGTGGAGTGCAGATTTCTTCATCTTTTTTCTACACTGAATCAAAGTTCTTTTGTGAGGTTCATAGACACTGAGGTCTAGGCTGCCTTGGTCTGATGACAGGGTCTCCTGCTGCCATCCCTAAGAAAGAAGTCTTCTTTACTGGACATCCTGGCCAAAAGCCTCATGTGGGCTGTTGCTGAATCAGGTGACCAGTTTCTGCTTCGTGTGAGATATCTTCACAATGCGGGCAACCAACACACAGATTACTGGTGCTGCCATCTTGCAGTGAGTGAAGGGCTGTTTGTGTGGCCTTTAAATATGATGCCCAATCTTTCCACCTGGGAACATCCCAGCCAGGGTCCAAACTTTCTGCTCACCCCTTCCTCATAAAATTCATGGCTGTATTTGTACAAAAATTCACATGCATTTTTTTGTGTTACTTTACTCATGAGATGTGGTGTCACTGTCTGGGGCAGTATCTATTTCCCATCCCTAATTGTCCTGGATAAAGTGGTGGTGAGCTGCCTTCTCAGTTCCATGATTTTGATCCAAAGACAATAAAGTAAAGGTACTGTAATTCCAAGTGAGGAGGGAGTGTGACTTGCTCTGGCCTTCCAGGTGGCACAGGTCATGGAGTTGAGCCTTGGTGAGTTATTGTACTGAATCTTGTAGATGATTCACTCCACTGTCATTGATGGTGAAGTGAGTGAATGTTCAAGGGTAGTGATGGGGTATCATTGAAGTGAGCTTCTTTGTCCTGGATGGTGCCAAGCTTCTTGAGTGTTGTTGGAGCTGTACTCATCCAGGCAAGTGGAGAGTATTCCATCACACTCCTGACTTGTGCCTTGTAAGTGGTGGATAGACATTGGGGAGACAGGTGAGTGACCTGCCACTGAACTCCTAGCTTCTGACCTGTTGTTGGAGCCATGGTATTTACATGGCTAGTCCATTTTAGATTCTCATCAATGGTAACCCCAGATTATTGATAGCATTGGATTTAGCAATGTTAATCATAATTAATATCAAGGAAAGATGGTTTGATTTTCTGTTGTTATGAGATTATCTGGTGCTTATGTGGTTTGAATGTTAGTTACCACTTATCAGTCCTAGCCTGAAGGTTATCCAAATGTAATGAACTGGAAGTGTGTGATCGCACAAGAAAATCCAATCTACCTCTGAGCAGAAATGATTCTTATGCCCCATGTCAGACTGATACTCCATAACGGCAGATTCGGCCCAATAATTTCCTCACTCAGACTTATAACTTTGTATTACTCCCCATTACCTCCATCTTTATCTTTCAATTTGTGGCTAAATTCCCCCTCCCCGAGTTTATCTAGATCCCTCACCAGAACAAATGGCAAATCTATACCTTATTTTCATTTATATTTCTAAAAAATTTAGTATTTAGCTCATTCTTTGCAAGGAAAACCAAAAAAAAAGACTCAGATGGAACTTATAGTAGGTTTGAAGAGTGACAGAGGAGTTTGTGATTGACATTGTAGTGTTAGAGCCCAAGTCCACTTCAGCTGAACAGGTGTACTCCTGTCCATCATCTGACAGTCTTGCGGTTAAATTGAAGACATTTCTCAACCTGTTATCTTCATCCGGAAGACCTGGTTCTTCTGTAGAATTTCTCTGGACAATCTCATTCCCTCTCATCCATGTGAGAATGAGTTTATTGTTTGGATAGACTCTTGGTCCAATGCACTCCAGACTATATCTTCTGTTAATCTCCAGCACTTTGTGGAGTGATGTAATGCTTATCTCTCAATCAGTTAAAGGAAAATCACAGTTAACTCAATTTATGGAGATAATGAGCTCGATATCCAAATCAACTCCCCCTCTGTACTTCGAACGCAGAAAGGATTTACTGAAAGAATTCCCTTTGTGATACAAGTGAACAGCGTTGAGATTTTCCACAGTAAAAATCAGTTAAGTTCTTTCCAACTGAGAGAAACCTGCTGGGATATCAGCTGTTACTCTGTGAAGGTGTTAGCATCACAAAATAACTCTTCCCCATGAAATGAATTTGAATATGTATGCGGAAGATGAAAAAGATTGTTGTAACAGTGTTATCACTTCAATCACTTTCCAGGTACTCAGCTTCCAAAGGGCTTTCCTGCATTCACATAAACGATTCTAAGGCCAGTTTAATGAGACCCAATTGAATAGCTTGATCTGATCTTTCCACAATAAACTGTCCAACCTACTTTACCTGCATCACCTTCAGTTGATGACTGTCAGTTAACCCAGGATCAAACTACATCTGGCTGTTCCTACATTTTGCACTGCCCTGCAGCACAGTTCACTAAATGATCTGAAATGAGACATTTCAAGAATTTCCCCTTCCTCTGTCCTCATTTTATGGCAGCTAATCAATTAGGTTAGAACAACAGTTTTCATTTATTGTATATTGTGACAACCATTTTCTCCTTCAGTTGATAATTCTCTAATTTATATATTGCAGAGCATGCAGGTGCAAAATCCCACTTGAGGATACTTGAGAAATCATTTGTGTACCAAGTATTGCCCTTTGTTCTGTTGGAACGCATCCCTGATTCATAGTCTAAATTTACCATTGGTTTCAACTGTTGCGCTGCAGTTCATCTTGAAGCAGCCTCCAAATTCCACTGCTAAGGAGGTTTATATTGATTGAATCTCAAATCCAGTTACTGTTGCTGCCAAGAAAACAAATCACAGTAGATCCAAGATATGGAAGTACCTTTTATCGCAAGTATTCATCAAGTAACGCCTCAAAGTAATTGCAGATTAATTATGGCATCTTGCTCTTCTTGAGAAACTCAAAATTAAAACAGGATGCCCCAAAATAACCACAGGAAGCAGCTAAAACTTCAAATCTGGTAACTACTTTGACAAAATGCAACTCATGAATATGTGGGTTACGTGTTAATAGATTTTAAGTTTGCAAACTTGATGAGAGCTGTATGTGATAGAGTGTCAGGTTCGCTTTGGCTTAACAGGTATGAGACTGAAAAGGTTTTGATGACAAAAAAAGAACAGAAATTGCTTGAGAAATTCAGCACTAGAGAGAAAAGGAACTAAATACCGATAAGTCCCCTGGACCTGATGGGTTGCATCTAGGATTTCAAAGGAGGTAGCTCAAAGGAGATAGCAGATGCACTGGTGATGATTTTCCAAGGATCTTTAGATTCTAGAAGTCACAGAGGAGTGGGTGCCAATGTAACACTCTTCTTCAAAAAGGGGAGGTGATACAACATAGGTAATTATAGGCCGGTTAACTGAACATCTGTTATTGGGAAAAAGTGGAAGATTTTATGATACAGATGTAATTGCAGAGCTTTTAGAAATACTTAACATAATCAAGCAGAGTCAGCATGGCTTTGTGAAGGGGAAATAATGCCTGTCAAATTTCTTAAGAGTTCTTTGAGAAGATAACAAGCAGGATAGAATAGGTGGAATAGATTCTGGGAAACTGTCAGGGTATGCACTTTGGCAGGAAGAAGGGAGGAGCTGAATATTATTTAAATGGAGAAAAACTGATAGATGGGGTTTCACATGTATGAATTATAAAAAGCTAGCATCTATATTTACTGGGTAATAAGGAAGGCAAATGGATTGCTGATCTTTGTTTCAGAGGGATTGGAGTATTAAAATAGGAAAGTTGTGCTGAAACCAAACAAGTCATTATTTAGACCATACTTAGAATTATCTGATCAGTTTTGGCTTCCTTATCTAAAGAAAGACATTCTGGCATGGGAGGCAGTCCAGAGGAGGTTCACTAGGCTTACCCCTCTTGTAAGGGGAGGTGACGGCCTAGTGGTATTATCACTGGACTGTTATTCCAAAAACCTAGGTAATTCTGGGGACCCAGGTTTGAATTTCGCCGGGGCACATGGTGGAATTTGAATTCGATAAAAATCTGGAATTAAAAGTCTAATAATGACCATGAATCCATTGCTGATTGAAATGAAAAACCCACCTGGTTCACTAATGTCCTTCAGGGAAGAAAGCAGCCACCCTTACCTGGTCTGGCCTACATGTGACTGCAGACCCACAGCAATGTAG